CATCTGAGTACAACAACATCTAGTCTCTCAATATTGCCACTTTATTTGAACTTTGATTAAAAAAAATTGACCAGTGTCCCTTTGATGATGTGAGTAAGATCCCCGGTGGGACAGAGAATCACTGAGCCCTTGCAAACACATATAAACAACAATACAGCAAGGTCAATCCCTCTCTCAAAGACTGGCTGGACAAAGGTTAGCCACCTCAGAAGTGGGACTTGATTGAAAAAAGTGCTCCCTCAGTTCCATTCTCTGTCTTCAAAATGTGTGAGAACAGTGGGAACTCATATTTCTATCCTTGCTATTATTCTGATACAAACATTGCAAAATCATGCTATTAAAGTTATTCTAATGCACAGACACCTTTTCATGAAAGTTGGAGCTTTTAGCGCGGTAACCTAGATGTCGAAGGTCCCCTAACCTTAACAAAGTAATAATTTTCCTAAACCTAACCTAAGTTGTTTTAGTCTCTAAACCAAACCAAACCTTAAACGTACTGCAAAGATTTTTTTCCTGGTTATAAAACAGTCTCAATATAATACCGATGCCTCTATACAACCTAAAGACCATCAGCGAGAAGATTGGCTATTTCTATATATAGTTTATTCAGAAAACCTGCCACATGGTCAGATTTGGTCGGATTTCCACAAAAAGAAGCAGTGGAAACACTACTGCTTTTGTCCACAGGGGCCGCCATAATCAACAAAAAGCTCCTTGTAGGGGCTTTAACTATAGCGTCGTCACATCATAAAAATGATTTGTTAGCAAACAAGCAAGCTAAGGTTAGCCAGCCAGCTGTAACCCAGCCATGCTGAATAACATTATCTGGTGCCGGTCACCCCACATCAATAGCCGACAAAGTAACCTGCAATTGGCAGCTAGATCAGCCACAGACCTTGTACTGCTACCTAAATGGAATCATAAGTCATTAATATGTATACATGGACCCTACTGTGCAAAAATATTCAAATACAATGGGTGAAAATAACTATATACCACATTTATACCACATTGCAAACACAATAGAACTGGACATTACACACCCACTCAATCAATATCTCACCACACTGCCTTCTGGGCGGAGGTACATTGAGGGTGCAAGAAAACTCGCTATGGGAAAAGCCTGATCCCTGCAGCTATTGCTGTTTTAAACAAAGGGGCGCGCTGAGTGTGTAAACCTGTCATGTATTATTCATTTGATTGTTTGTTTGTTTTTGTTTTTGTTTTGTTTTGTTCTGTAGATTTGTTAATTGTGGATAGCGTGTTTCTTTGTTGAGTGTATGGAGTTGCCTGCAGGTGCAGTGATGTAAACATGAATTTCCCCCTTGGAGGACAATAAATTGAATTGATTGACATGCCAGAAAACATGCATTTAGATTTATTGTGTCTCAGTTTGTTTGTGCAATTAAATTAACTGCAAATTTGTTTGGAAATATGCACCACTAAAGCACAATATCAGCCAAAATGGAATAGGCTTCATATTGTATGTTCACGTCAAATCATTTAGATTAAAACTACAACCAGCCAATGGGATTAACTGGTCACATCAGCCTCCCAGTTATTTAGACTCAGAGATACTGTCAATGCCAATCACACATGAAAAGATGTTAGGTGTAAATGACAATCTGTTTAATGTTCCACAAGAAAGAACAACAACAACAAAACAAACCAAAAGATTTGACTGGTTAAAACAGCTTCTCCATCACTGGCAGTTACAACTAGATCAAATTCAGTATTAAGTAAAGTAAACTAATCAAAAAAGAAATTTGTGTTTAGTTAAATTACTAACAACAGGATCAGTGGAGTCACACAGCTAATTTTTGCCCCTAGGCCCTCTAAGCGGGTTAATCCTGCATAAATATGTGTCCTGTGTAAATAATATGAAATCTTTTAAATGTAAGTGTAGGCACAACGTATTAGTCTTGTTGTTATGCAACATTGTGACATACAATCCTAATTCTAGTGTATATTGCAAATATATGCTTAGTTGTGTATAGCTGCCCAGGACTTGTCACTTGGATTTGGTAAAAGGCATTATGTTAATGAGCGCTAGATTTGAGAGGTAAGGATTATAACTGTGTGTGGTCTCCTAGGGCAACCAAGGCTAGGAGTGCGTGCAGTTAAATGAAATACTCCCTTTACGACACACACACACACACACACACACACACACACACACACACACACACACACACACACACACACACACACCTAAACAAACATGCCTGGCTGCTATCTGTGAGCTGTATGAAAGCACCAGATAGGTGTGAAAAGTCCTTGTTTAGAACAAAGCCTGAAATGTTAAATGTACGATGTCCGTTATCTGCAGCATCATGGGTCACTTGTGTGCTGTTGTGAAATTCTCATCCTTTTATTCTAGCTTTCACTTAGTGGTTCTCTCTCACCATATAGCTTTCCACGCAGCTTACTAGCAGGAACATGGACAAGAACGTGTACTGTCACATATGGGTGCTAGACCTTGGTCACTGAATGACTTAGGTGCCATAAGCCATCCTTATTTGTATCTATTTGAGCTCAAGTATGCAGAAGGAGAGAGAAAAAAATAAGAAAGCTCAACATATTCCTCTCTTGAGCTTAGTCTGTCAAAAGTGGATCTTAGCCATAACACCTGGAAGTAAGACTTCATAAACAGGATGTGTAACTAATGCACTCTGCATTAGTTGTAATATTTTGGTTTTATTAAGACTTCACTCTGTCTGTCTGTATGATTATTCTTATTCATACATTTCAGCATTTATATTTATTCTACTGTAACCTTCAAGCACCACATCCTCTCAGTGTAGATGGGAAAGCAACTGAGGCACTGCTCAATCTTCCTGCTGGGTTATTCATAGATTGATCTCTATAAAGCAACAGCTGTTATATGAAGCAGCTTGTCAGGAGTCTCTTCTGACAACCTTGTGAAAACATTCAGGATAATAACAAGACTGTTAAAATTAAGTCCGTGTTGGCAGCAGTGGAAGTGCTTGAGTCACTGATTCTCTCTGATCTGCTATAGTATGGTCATGGTGAGGAGGATGGATTTGTGGAACTGTAATGAAAGCCCCTGCACCTGAGATATATACTGTGGCATTATAGTGTATTCATTTGTCTTCTAGTGCAGGAAGAAGTATTCGTTTTTCTTTACTTACTTAAATATTCTTTCCACACTGTAACAATACTACATACAATACATTACAAATTAAAGTCCCGTTTTCAAAAGCTTAGTTAAGTGTAAATAAGTATAAGTACAGCTAACAGAACTGCATAGAGACAGAAAGAAAACAGACAGAAGTCCACAGTAACTGTGCCATGACTGTCACCAACAACACTGATCCTTGTGTACATCAGCTCTTGGGGCAATTAATCCTAAGGTGACTCGCGTTTACCGTAATGTTAGGTAACAGGCTATAAGTGCTTCACATAAATCTCCCCTGTTTGTTGACAGAATATGGCTTTTATCTCCTCTTTCCATTCCTCCATCCATCTGCCTTCTCTCCTCTGTCCCATCTATCCATCCTCTCTCACTGTTTGTCAGTCAGTCAGTTTCTTATCTTGTCTATTTTGATCTGTCCACCGCTCCCTCTGCTCTTGTGTATGATATAACCATCTGTGGCCAGCCGCTCACCTGACCAATGACCACCAGGCTGTCAGGGTGATAATGTAAACCTCTCTGCGAGGAGATAACAGCCCACTGGGATAATTGGCCAGGCACACACGCGCGCGCACACACACACACACACACACACACACACACACACACACACACAGAAAACACACACACACAGATGAAGCCAGGGGCACACAGTGAGGCACCTCACAGTTACCATGGGAACTTGACCTGAAGCCCCTGTGTACACTCACATACACACATCTCAGTGAACACCCCCCACTGTGTACTTTGGCCAGATGAGGTGCTCGGAGGAGAAACAAACTTCAAACATTGAGCTGATGTAACAAAGCAGTAGGGCCACTTGCAGAAAAAAGACCCATGTTTTCTGGGATAACAGAGAAAATCCTGCTGGTCCAGTCCAACACCAACAAAACCTGTTCCCCCGTAATTATGAACAAGTAATCCAAACATTTTGGCAATGAGAAATAAAGTTACACACATTTATTGTAATATAGTACAAATAAATATGTGTTTTAAATTTGTACATTTTAGGGCAACTTATTTTGCAGTTTGCTTTAGTAACACATTGAACAGTTTATGTACCAATTTCAATTATGAAGCAAACAATTGTGGAAAAGTTCTCAGTAAGGTCAATGCTACTATTTTAGCACCCTACATGAGTTATTTACTAGGTCACCCACAGCTGGAATGTAATTCAGACTGATTATGTATTTATCAGAACCTGATGAAGAACTAGAGTCAATAAGTGTTGGTCTGTTTGAGGCTCATAATAAATTCATAATATTATTTCACCTGAAGACAGAGTGCCTTGGTTTGTTACATTGCTGTCTGCACCACTCATATTAAGCAAGACTCCCTGGATCTTGTTTTTCTGGTACTTTCAGCGGTCCCATTAAAGAGCACCTTTCGAGCTTCCTTCTTCCGTTCACTGATAAGTAACTTGGCCCTTTTGATACTTGCAGCTATTTGGAGGATGACTGTTAAGTGTGTAACATGTTCCCTCTGGTGGTAAGAAGTGATTGCTACAAGTTCAGAGAACGACACTGATGCAATTTGTTCCAGTAAAAAGAACATTATTCAGGCTACAAGCTTAACAAAAAATGACATCTCACAGTCCATTTCAACTCCTGCTATGGAGTTCAGATCTTCATCAGAACATGGAGTTGGTTCTTTTGTTTTTCTGAGTGCTTCAAGGACTTCTTGTGCATGTCGGCTTTTATACATTTATTCATTTGGCAGACGCCTTTGTCCAAAGTGATGTACAAAACAGGTATAATCTGAGCCACAGTAGCCTTCATCACATCATAGCATGGATAAACTGTGCCCTCCAGTATGTTATTATCATCAAGAAAACAACCACAAATCATTTCATTCATAATGTTCTTTATTTCCCATTAAAGGCTTCATTCTGAAAGGATACAGTAATTATTACTGGCTAGGATTTGTGAACATTTATACCAGCTAATGCACCAAATTTAAAACAACAAATAAAAACTAAACTAAACGAACACATCAACAACAACAACAACAAAAAACAGTTCCTAACTGTACTAATCTTGAAATGGTAAATCTTGAATGGGTGTGTGTGCCTGTGTCTGGATGCATCCTTGTGTGCTGGATTGGTCAAGGTGACCTCGTATTTGTTTACCCAGCCGCAGCAACGTCTTGCTGAAAGCTCATCCTGCCCCTGCATGGCACTGTTTTAGTGACAGCATTAGCAGTGAGTCATTCTGATTTGAAAAGGCAAATGTTCCTGTCTATGGAAGGTGCACTGAAGCGTGAAAAAGGCAGAGTTTTAGTCCCTGAGCCGGGTTTGTCCTCCAGCTTCAAGCTATACCTGCAAAGACTTGACTGGGGAGAGGCAGAGGGCTAGTTGAAGATGGTTAAACAGAAGAAGTGATCTGTATCTGCTCTTCTCAGGACACTGACTAAGACTGTGTGCACAAAAAGAACATTTTTGTACTTATTGTCTGAAATGTAGCCACAAACAGGGTTGGTCTTGTTTGTCCAGGTTTGAAATCTCTAAAATTTCTGCAACCACACTTTCTACAGAAAAATTGTTTCTACATATGAAAACAAAATTGTCAGATGTCAAAACCAAAGCTGACCACATATCATTAGGGAGTATACTTTAAATGTACCACATGTTGCCCACCCTATCTGGCAGCCCCCTGCCCCTGAATCAGTAATCACATGTCTTACTGATCACAACTAGTTCACCAGAGGGCAGCATCTAACCACAGATCCCAGACAGAGCGGTTGCATGACTGAGATTTCCTGAGTCCAGCTATCTTATACTTCAGACACAAAAGCTTCTGTGTTTCCGAAATTCTGGAATTCACTCTCTGTCTTTTGAGGTCTTTTCATTCTGTATGAGACGGACAGATATTCTTTTTATGGTGCTCTCGCAGACAGCGTGCATTCAAACAGCAGTCACACATACACAACCCTCCCGTAAAAACATGGTGGACACACTTGTCAACAGACATTTTCATCTCACTCTCTCAGAAAGAAATCCATACTCCTGAAAATAATATGTGGCTAGAAGGTCTATAGCTCAAGATAAAGGTTTCTGTGTGTGTGTGTGTGTGTGTGTGTGTGTGTGTGTGTGTGTGTGTGTGTTTCTATGTGTGTATTTGTTGTTTTTTGAAAGAGTGTAAAGGAACCAATAAGCTCTACTCCCTCATCTGTGACTAACTATCGAAACAAAACATCAGAGTCATTTTATACAGTGTAATGATTATCAGACAATTGACAGTGACTTCAGCTCAGAGGTAAAAGAAAGAATAAAATAACTTGCAAGATGACTCACTTCACTGGAAGTGAAATTCTGAAATAAATCTCAGTGGCGTATTGTTCCTCTGTTATCGTTGTACCCTGTCTTCACACGCTCCCTGGCGTGCATTTACTTTGGCAAATTCATTATTTCAGTGTGAGAGCAAGTAAGATCAAAATATACAAAAATATTGTCATAGGTCCATGTGATCCAGCTCCAGTGGTGATGCTGTGGATGTCTAATATTTGCGGCTTCACATTGCTCGAATCGCACTCTGAGGAGAAGACCAAGAGGAAAACCAAGAGGAAGAGAAATTAACCTCAGTAATATACTCGTACATTAGGAATTTAACATTTAGCTTGTGAGAAACCCCCTCGTTCATTGCTGATTTCCATTTTAAAACTAATACCAATCACAAGGGAGCAGTGGTGGGAAGTAACTTAAAACTTTTACTCAAATATTGTACTGAAAAAAATTGCAATTGTACTTTACTCAGTACATTTTAGAAATAAGTTTTACTCTTCTACATCTCACAGTTATAGCTGCTAGTTACTTTCAATGTTGAACACACACAACATATAACATAATTATTTCCCAAAAGTATATAAAATAGTTTGCATTAAACAACATTTTAATCAGGCCGTAAGTTATTAGGATTGGTAAGCTGTGTATTTATCAGCTAATTAATAATGAATCAACACTGTATAGATTTTTTTTGCTGGTGTTCAGGTGTTGATAGCATAACTTGTTTGGTCTTTTTTTAGCTGTAGAGCTATTTCATTTAATCAGGAAATATCCTTTAATAGGCTAATTCAACCACTTTCTGCAAAAGAGCTGCAGACCAAAATCAATTTACATTGCAGACATGGTGGCTCATTTTCTAATAAGCCATCAAGTCTGTGTTTAAAAATTAAGAAAACAGTTCTTCAACCACAATAATCCACCAAAGTGAGTACATGCTTTTAAAAAGGTCTCATTTTGTAATATGCCATTAGGGTGCAGTTGTAAAAAAATAATAATTTATACGTTCAATTCATTTTGGTTCAGATGCTGTGCTGTTGTTTTCCAGAAGGAATATAATCCATTAAAGGGGACCTCCAGATGAGAGCTAGCTAAAATGGCAAAGCCATTGTCAAGCTGGAGGACAATAAACTTTTTACAACCTGGTAACTCAAAGGTTGTTCTTACTGACTGATTCTTGACGTATAAAAGACAATATGTTATTTATTAACTAGTGATAAAGTATATGGTTATAATTAACTAAAAAAATTTTTTTACACACAATGAATGCAAACATAACTTTTGTTTGTTAACAAGAAAATTCCACATGGCACTGCAACTAAAGAAAAATAGCTAAAAAGAAGCAAACCAGTCTTTTTGTATTTTGTATATTCAGTCATAAAGTCATAAAGAGTTAACGTTATCTCTGACCTTGAAACTCCACTGTCGTTCTTTCACTTGCAATTCCTTGGTTGGAACGTAGATTGCAATTGTAGACGCTTGAGTTTCCACTCTCCAGTAGATGCAATTTTTGAAACTTGAGGGAGAATTGTCTATGTTCATACTCACACTGGAAGTCACTTAGGATTCTTCTGTGTGAGGTAACGTTTCCTTCACTGTCCAACGAGCATAAAAGTGTATTGTTTAGGTGCCACTTCATTAATTTGATTGATAATCCATTTTGAGATGAGTACACGTTGCAGTTTAGGGTAACTTTGCCACACCTGGTAATCTCTGAATTTACATTTAGTCCAAACTCTGCAGACAAAAAGACAGATATTGTACTGAGATGATGATGAGATTAATGAAAACAGAATTTTTTTGTTGCTTTCTTTTATCTTAAAGTTAGCGTTATTATCAAGACAATTGCAATGTAAAATTTTACGACGTTGTAGTGTTTACAACATTAATATTTCTTCCATCTGTATAGCCAAGGTAACCTGGAAGATTGCAACATAAAGACTTTTCTTCAATGTATATTTAGACTGAACAAATTAGTTCAAACTACTTTAAAAGTTTCACATAGCCTACCTTTTGTTGCAAAAGTGGGTGCAGTCAGAAGACAGAGAAGTATATGCACTGCTGTGAGCCCCATTGTCATCTCTTTTGTATTTCACTGTAACATGGAGAACAAATCAAAACAAATCTCAAAATATACACACTACAAGTTTTTTTGTGCAACCCCAACTCCGTATTTGAAAAAAACAAAAAACACAATGTTTGTTAAGTCTTATATCTCAGTGGAACTGACCTTAGGTGTTTTTCTCCTCAGCTTGTCTCTAGTCCACAAAGACTCCTGATGATTCCTTCTGGTGCTTTTATATAGTCCTTCAGACTTGTCCCTAAGTGCAAACGTTAATGATTACAGAGTTATGAAAAGGAATTACTGAGAATTCCTTATCACTGTGGGTGTGTGCTGGAACCTGAACAGTGAAATGGAGTTGTTTTGTTTGTGTGTGTGTGAGAGAGCGTATGTGTGAGAGAGAGGAAGTAGGAAAAACAGACACAGTGAGGGCCTATTCATACAGCTGCCACAACTACAGACTTGTATGACTGCCTTTGATATAGCAATTTTCTGTTGCCTCATTTCTTTGCATTCAACTCAGATTTTTCCCATGAGGTTAATATGACTGATTCTGTCTGTGACTCCATGGCGAAAGCCACGGGGTTAACACTTTAATCTGTTATATTCCAAAGAGTCATTCTCACTCAGTGAATGATTCATGTCATTAGAAGTAGTCATTAAGGGTTGTGAATGTCAGTAATAGACACCAGACACATTGGTCAAAATATAAGTAATTAAAGACAAGTGGCAGGTAAATGACCCCAAGGGTAGAAAGAAAAAACTGTCTCGTGTTTGTGACCTTCACTTAGCACACTCATATAAACACCGATCAGCCTTAACATTATGACCCCCTGGGAACCCTGGTGGTCATAATGTAATGCAGCCCCATAAACAACAAACTGTGATGCATTGTGTGTTCTGACACCTTTCTATCAGAACCAGCATTAATTGTTTCAGCAGTTTGAGCTACAGTAGCTCGTCTGTTGGATCGGACCACAGGGGCCAGCCTTCACTCCCCACATGCGTCATTGAGAGTTGGCCCCCCATGACCCTGTCTCCGGTTCACCACTTTTCCTGCCATGGACCACTTTGATAGGTACTGACCACTGCAGACTGGGAACACCCCACAAGAGCTGCAGGTTTGAAGATGCACTGACCCAGTCGTCTAGCCATCACAATTTGGCCCTTATCAAAGTTGCTCAAATCGTCATGCTGCCCATTTTTCCTGCTCAACTTTGAGGACAAAATGTTCACTTGCTGCCTTATATATCCCACCAGTGGTCAGTTGTTATAATGTTACGGCTGATCGGTGTACACTGTATATTAAGAGTATATCCCCTTCTCCAGGGACCGCTACACGTATGCTTATGTTATAGGATAATGCTACCAATATTTGTTATTTTATTAGCAGCAAATACCAGGGAAGAAACCAAATCCAACATTGAATTTATCCTACTAACAACTATTGTCAGTTGCTAATTGCAACATTGCCCAAAAATGCAAACGTCATGAGTATGCAGTTTATTTTGAAACTGTCCACTGCTACATTTTCAATCTCTAGAGAACTAGATGTCACAGAGGATGCTAGGGATGGAACGTGCTATGCTGACAAATATAACTGATAATAAACTTGTTCATTACTGTTTAATTAATTAGGGACACATGTCATTTCATGGTTAACATCTTTCTTTGTATTAGGAATTTTATTTATTTTTTAACTGTGAAGTGATGCCAGTAGTATCCTTTAAAAATGATCTCACATGCAACAAATTTGGTCACTTGGTGAGTGTGAGTGTTAATTAGAGAGTTGCTTGTCCAGTGTGTGACAGAGACAAAGTAACTGGTTATGATTTACTTAATTGAGCACTGGGAGACACAAAGTGACAGGGAGCAGAGAAGTGGCTGCCAAAGAGATCTCAGACACTTAAGTCATGAGAAATTTGAGCAGCCTTCAATGTTGTTTATCAAGGAGTCATTCAAGGATTGATTTGTTAACCATATGTCCTTCTTCTGTGCAAACCTGACTTTGGTTCCCATTAATCTGTTCCAGCCTCAAAATAATAGAAGATAAACTGATGAACTGATGCTACTTTTCTTGGATCATCCATGTGGTTATTTAGAACAACATTTCACAATCATATAACAAGGATTCACAGGCTGTAGGGACCCCTGGTGAAGGTTATTGCAAAAGCTGCTGAGTACGTACAACACATGCAAATTTGAATGCACCAAGACATAGAAATCCTGTACATTTAGCCTAATTAGAGCACTCTGGACGTGATTACAGAACTCGAGTTACCATGTGTAATTATCCTTTCCTCTCTCCAAATGTAAAAAGCCACATATTGCTGTTGGTGTTCACATCACTGCATAAAAACAACTACAGAATTCTGCTACTGGCTCAGCAGGGGCACTGAGGCCTACTAGGATAACATTTCCATATCTCCAACTCAACTGTTGGCGGGCGAGTTGCATTGTGGTTAATGGTTTTGACAAGGAAGAAGAATTCTACAAAAACTGTAAATATTTGGTTATGGTTAGGGAGTGAGTGTAGTCACAGACAAACCCTAAATGTCTATATTACACTGTGTCTAATTCATTCATTTTATTCAATGAAGCAGTGAACTGCTCCTGCTATTCCTTCGTTTTTAACAATGCTCTGTAGACAAAAAGTAAACAAAATTATAAAAAGTCCCTTTTTGAACACTAACACATTTATTCAATTAAGCAGTCGACTGCTCCTGCTATTCCTCAAACCTTTCGTTTTTAACAATGCTCCGTAGTCATAAAGTAGACAAAATTCCTCACTCTGACACAGCTTCCTGTAGCTGTTGACCCAGCCCTCAAGTCTTTGTATTAACATTTATAATCTGCCACATCAGAATAGTGTCAACAAATACTTCCTATTCATAAATCTGGGACTTTAGGGCCAGTGGGAATCTGCAGCATTGGAGCAGGTTCATGTTTTGCCCAGTCTGTAATCTGTCTTTGGCTATGTATAACTCTCAGGCCTTTCCTGCCCTGCATGACAGCAACATTGCGGCTTATTACACAGCATGTCGAGTTTTATCCTGTACTTAATTGCTGTGGGGACCAGATTACCAATAATGCTGAGTTTTTTTTGTGGCTATAACACGATTTGCAGTAGGAATACTAAACCGCTGAAGTTGTTGAGCATCTGGTAAACATAGTTCGACAGTAATTCTGCACTCAACAGTGTTGTATTTGAGTTGCACTTCGGACCTGTTGCTATGGTGATTGGTCTGCCATTTTTTTTATTGCAGTATGATCAAAAATTCACATCTCCTGTCTTGGTGAAGTTGAAGGATTACATACTTTTTTAGGGACTGAAAAATGATCACACTCATAGAAACCTTTAGCATGGAGAATGTCAGTAATTGTAATAATTGTCATTAAGCTCCAAACAAAGAATGAATTATGTGACCTTTACTGTATGTCCCTTCTGTTAGATGAATCACTTGTGGCTCCAAAAGCTAATGTTTCAGTGATAGGAAACCTTGGATAATGTTCTAATTACTACCAATACAAAATCATATGAATGGGCTTTATGGACAACAGGAATTATGGCGCTCAGTACATAAATGATTTTCATTTAATACAAGTTGTGAGGTTTTTGAATGCCAGAAATGGAAACTTGTTTACTGCATTACATTAGAGTCTGCATCAGAGTTACATCATTGCATCAGTGTCTGGAAGCTGCTGGTACAGGTAGCACTCATAATTCCTGTGTATGTAATTCCTGTTGAAGACTTTAGCTGTTAAAACCCCCCAAAGCCCCACTAAAGCTCAGCCTCAACGAGATTTAAAGAATCTAAGCCGCGCTGGCACTTAACTTTAGAAGTTCAATAAGAATCTCACTTACAGCATGTTGTATGCTGCTGCTGCAAGTTTCCATTTTAAATACTTGCTGCATTAGTGGCAACTGAACATGCAGTTGTAGCCCGGTGTAAACGTAGAGGGGTTAAAACAAGTTCATTTGTAATACGAATAATTATTGCAATTATTTAATTAAATAATTTAGTAATGCAAGTAAACTGACAGTAATTTCGATTAAAAGCAGTGATAGATGAAATGTTAACCAAGAGATTAACATAAATTCATAATAAAGTAGAGTGTAAATAGTTAATCAAGTAAGTACATTAAATTGTTCTATATAGTAGCTGAAGAAAAGTGTGTGGTAAACCAAACGTGAATATTCAGATTTGTGTCATTGGTTCATGCTGTTTCATTTGATTGGTTGACCATAGGTAAGGGAGAGAGCGGAAAAGGGGCGGTAAAGAAAAAAAAACGACAACAAGAGAGACAGGAGAATCGACGAGAAGGAGAGAAGAGAAAAGAGAGAGAAATGCAGAGCTAAAGTAAGTTAATTGCCACTGAGGATAAAGATTTGCCTGCCACACCGCACCGAGCAACACACAGGCCTGCAACTTTTATTGTTTTTGTGTGTGTGTGTGAGAGTGTGTGTGTGGGCCCACTGTTTTGTTTAGAGTTTAGTTAAGTAGCATATTTGATCTGAGTCTGATGAGTACAGAGAAATCATATTAAAGTGGTACGAACTAGGAATGTTAGAGACCTGAGATAATTTAAGTTTTGAATAGTATTTTGATATTGCCAATTCTATTTTGCTTATTATAAGTGATTTTCTACAGTGTTATGCCAATTTTGGTAAAGGGTATTTTGTTTACAATTCAGCATTTCAACTATAATATTTTTATTTTTTTTTAGAAGTCTAATTTGGGTAATTGTGTTATTTCATTTTTGTTTCTTCTTAACTAACAAAGTAAATATTATTGGTGTTACACTGCAAACCACTGTTTAGTAAAATATTATTTCATTTATTTGAAAGAGTTGTCTGGGGTCAGTTATTTAAAATAGTGTACAGTACGTGTGAATAGAGCCACTGCTTAGTCTAACAGTGTTGTTGGTTATTCATAAAGTATTAGGCTATAAAAAGTTTCACACAAAACAGGTAAACCTTCGTGGTAGCGAGCTTTTATAAATCAAACCCAGACACCCCATCATTCAAGTCCAGGGTGAGTTCCTTTAACATAGGCATTTACTGAGTGTTGGGGTGCTACACAGTGTTTTGGGTTTTCCTGAACAGAGGGGTATTGCACAAAACCAAGATAAGGGATTAAGCCGGGATATGTTGGTTATCCTGGATGAATTTAGCCTCAAGTCGGTTGCATGAAAGCAGGTCAAACTTATCCCGGCCAAGTTACTATGGTGATTTATTCTCTGCAGTTAGCCTGCCGC